AAACTATACAGATCATCATATAATTTACAAATTCATGTATTAAGTGTTCGTTTATCAAACGCTCTTCCAGGAATTTCTTTAATATCTCGCGTTGTGATGCTCAATTACTGACATAACATTTCCCATCGTAGAATAAAAGGTAACATTATTTGATTTGATCAAATGTTGCATGAAAACAAATACCAATATTCCAGATTACCTTGTTCGCTATCTAGTCCTACGAGAACATCGTAGTCCTACGAGAACATTCAGGAAAAAATTATGTACATATAGGCCTATAGAGGTGGAAACAAATTCAATTTTTTAAGTAATGATTGATGATAATACTGTATATAGACACGAATTAAATGTGTTTATCAATGATTGTAAATACAAAAATGTGACTTACCGAACCTCCTTGGATACCGTATTAATCCATTCCAAAAATTCCGTCTTCACGTATTTGTCTACATTCTGTATTACTTGATCAATCAAATAATTTCTATTTCTATCTTTACATAAAACAGCTAACCTCGCTCCAAACACGAAAACCATAATTATACGGCCCCAGTTTATGATATTATCGCTAAACATTTCTGTTAAAATGTCTTTGAAAAACGTCTCGATATTCTCATTTGAATTAAACAAAACTTCCCTAGTTAAATTATAAAGATGTTCATTGTGCATTTCATACACCTTTTCGCAATATTTAAAAAAAAGTACTGTTATATATTCCATGTCATTGCCAAGTTTATATGCCACAAACGCTGAATTTATTTCTCGTGCAATTTTTTCAGTTTCCATGTTCATGTTTTTTCACTCTAAAAACAAAGTTATGTTTTAACTTTGAACACGATCTTCGTGGATAGGTATTACGTAAAAGAATTGCTTAATTTGATGAAGTTGAAACAACTAAACTTATGTTCTTACCCCAAATTTATTCGAAATGTATACAATACAGAAATAAAGGCATTACCTGTCGTTAGAAGCGGTTAATTCAAACCATAGAGTCACCAGCGGTCACTGATACATCTGAAACAATAGAAATCGCTCTTTACATGAACCTACAGAAATCGAATTGTTCATCGCACGCTTTATACATCTTTTCACAATATTTGAAAAAAAAATTACAGTTCACATCCTCTATATATTCCATACCATTACCTAGTTTATATGCTACAAACGCTGGATTGATTTCTCGTGCAATTCTTTCAGTTTCCATGCTTATATTTTTTCCTCAAATGACGCTATTTTTTTCAAAATATATACCTAAAAAAAGTCTCCTTATTTTATAGAGCCTACACTACCATCAACAAACACACATTTATACCAGTATTATTACTATTATCATTACTATTTTTATTACTATTTTTATATTCATTATCATTTTATTACTACCATTATTTTATATATTATTTTAACTACTATTAATAAAAAATACCCCCGCATTTAACAACAATTTAACATATCCTTCATTGGTTAATTTCACTCATGACATCATGTGACCGCATATCTATCGGCTTTTCGTTATACTCATCGGACGTAATCTTAAATTAAAATTAAAATTGAATACAAGACGTCATAAACCTATTCACGTTTACCTGGGCTATTCAAAAACAACAAGTCACTGCATTTTCTTAGTTACCAAAATCTCTCATCCAATAGAGATCACTCTTGTCACGATGTAACGTCATCAGTCTATTCATGTTCACCCGGGCTATTCAAACTATCTAGTCACCGCAATGTAAGTGACCAATATCTTCATCCAATAGAATTCCTTCTTATCGTAACGTACCACCCATATATCACATTACTATACAAACTATTAATTAATACTATCAATGACACCGCACATCCTTTCTATTGTTTTATACCTATTGTTTAGTTGAAATTAATCCCTTTGAAATACCGACACCGCACTTCCTAAAATTAATTAACTACATAACACCTTTTTTAAGCCGCACATCCTTTCTATTGTTTTATACCTGTTGTTTAATTGAAATTAATCCCTTTTGAAATGCCGACATCGCACGTGCAAACACCTTTTGTTTACACTTCCAAGTCTCATTGTTTTCAATTTCAATATGTCACACATACCAACTCAAATTCATATTTTCTTTTTAATAATATATTTTATTTATTTATTATTATTATTTAAAATATTTATTTAATATTAATATAATTAAAACAATTGTTTTTCTATTATTCCCATTGTTTACTTTACATATTTAATAACCTCCTATAACGTTCATATTTACTACTAGTGTAAATCGTTAGTTTAATAAAGTGAAGTCATTGTTATGTTGATAACACAATTCCTCACCTGATCTAAAAATCAATAATGGAGTGTTTTGTCTTTAGATATTTCTGCATAATGCTTAATTTCTAGTTATCTTGTAGATTATCTAGGTAGATTAATATATTATTAACAATGTGAAAAGAAAATTCATGACAAAATACTATCAATAATTCAAAATGGGAATCATCCAATTCTTTATAATTTTTAGTTTATTACGATCTTGTAGACGTCGTAGGTCTACACATAACGTTATTATTTTCTATATTCTATCACATTTTTTATCGAACTTTAGCATCCTATTTTTATATGTTTTATATTTTATTGATGTTCTTGTGTAATAACTAACCTTTGAACAATTTTATGTCAAATAGGACAACAAGAAGAACAAACAAAAATAACTATGAACTATTTGCAGTGGACATTTTAGCAGGTAGAACGCCTATTTGTTAATACACAGTTCTGGGATTATTTAGTGCAGGATGAACAAACTATAGCTGTATTTTTTTAACTCATTATAATTAATACATTTGTATTGTATTAACAATTTAAAATTCGCTTATATTCATTATCCTTGTAATAATTATAGAATTACTAGTCAAATAGCTGTCGAGTTTCCAGGGCGATTTACTTTCATAAATATTTTGTAACCTATATGCCAACGTCTATTTATGATAAATATTTTTCAATTAAATTGAATACATTGAAATTGTGATTGGTTTATTTTTTATGTTGAGATAAATTTTAGACCGTATTGCGCTAATGTTACATACTAGTGTATTGTATGATAATGAAAAGTTATTTACTAAGAGGGTGTCAGAACTCCGACAGGGTGTTCAATATCCAAATATCCCATCAAAGGTCCAAATTATTTTTGCCCGCAAATGGCACTTTCAGACTGTATTAATGTTTTTATTAATCAGTGTCCTCTGGCAACTTCTTCCCGTTGTTTAGTGTGATTAAGTGGCCGTATTCACTAGTAAATTTTACACCCCCCACCCCAGAGACCCTATTTACTAGAAATGTTGCTCGGGTCCAAATCCTCAGAGGTTGTGGTAATTCCTGCATTAAAAAGAGGACCCTGGTGGGAATTATTAGTGTTCCCAGTGCTAAGCAGCAACTTGATATGAAATATATATATATATATATATTCGATAACAAAATGAAGAGTATCAGAGTCCAAACATCCGTCGATCAAACAATGAAAGTGCCAAAATCTAGAGAAAATTGTTCAAATATTAAGCAGAAAAAGTTCAAGGGAAATAACCGATCTATAAAAGATTGAAGAATGACGTAATTGAACCATGGACAGTTGCGGTAAGCCCCGCCCCTTTGATATTATTTTTGTTGATATATTTTCTCAATAAGACCTACTTTTGCATGCCAAGATCCCAAAAAGCGTACGTATATGTACATGATTTAGGCCCTGTCTCTTATACACATCTAGATGTGTATAAGAGACAGGAGTCGGATACTAAGATGAAGCATAATTAATTAGCAGAATCAGCATGGGGGAAGGTGTAGTCACTAATGATACCCAGGTCTTTATTAAGACCAAAAATGTGTGTTTTATATTTGATTATGAGTTTCAGTTCCGATTGACGTCGTTCTTTGAGTGATTTGAAATTGCAAGCAATGAGTGCACAGCGAATGTCGTTGATGTTGTGGTCAGGAGAGTTGAAATGTTCCATATATATATATGGAAGTAAAATGAACAAACTTTGTTATGTTTGTTTTTAAGCGAGTTGCCTATTGCTAACAATGCCTCATATTTGTATTGTGCATAATAAATACGGTACAAAGTAGGCCTACACAATGAAGGAAATGACAAAAATAACCTGTTGAAGTGTAGTTGTGGGTCAAAGTCTGAACTTTAATTCAAGATTCAGAAATTCTGCTCTGAATCAGTTATAGTATTATAGTGGAAAACGATATTTCTACGGTCACAGATTTGTACACATTCTACGAAGTGACATCGTTACAGCTGTAGGCCTAACGATGTACGGTACAGCACTTCGGTGGATCATTATTCAAATGGTCTTAACAGTCTGCTTGTACCGACCTACGGAATCATCAGGTAAGCGTATGGTTATAATGTTGAATTTCCTTAAAGTAGGTTTATGTAATACTATGTAGACTTGTGCTTTGAGACAGAGAATATTACCTATTTCATTTATGTATCGAAAACATAGCGTCAGAGAGTAGGCCTATTTTAGCTGAATTGATCTCTAATTATTTAGAAGCTGAATATATTAATATAAGATTATACATTGCATAGGTCTGTCTTGCTAAACTCTTCTCCTAAGGCATGGCAGTAGCCACAATAATTGAAGCTGTCAGGTTGCGAGAGAGCACTGAGGTTGCGGCCAGGGGGCCACCAAGTGCCCCCGGTCAGGGTTCAGGGCCCGGAGGCCACGGGAATAAGTTGCTATTTCTCCATATACACCGATTTGAATGATGTTCTGTTGTAGTAATCTAATACATATAATGGTTTTAAAATATTTTTTTTTAAATAAAAATATGTTTTAAGCAAAACAATAAAAACACTTTGAATTCAAAACAGGCAGATTATTCAAGAGAAAGCTTGTTACTCACAGCATTATTGTTATTTTAGTATATTGCGTTTTGACATTTACAAAAATCTAAGATTAGACCTATGAACGAAAAATAATATTGCTATGGTACACTTTCAATCAATACATGCAGGCGCGGATCCGGATCTTCGCACCATTCGCCATGGCAAAGGTCAGGGTGAGAGATAAAATGATATTAAAAAAATATATATATATAAAATGATTGCAGTGCCTGGTGGTCTGGCAAATTTTAACTGTTTCTGTTAGAAATGCAACCTACCTCAACCAAAAACAAAAACATAGATAAAAATGCAATATATTTCTGCATTGCCTGAATATTAATTAAAAGGGACTGTAATTAAATCGGCTGCACGATGTTGAGTTGAATTGAGTTTTTTGTTTATTCTATTTTGATTTATATGTCACTATGTATGGTTAATCAAAAAACAATCAAAGGGATAATATACATGTGTGTTGATTTTTATAACCGTGTTGGAAGGCATTTATAATTTCATTATATTTTGTTATTTTAAAATAAAATAAAGACAATTACTGTATGCATATTAATTAATTTCCCGGTGAAAGTAAAATCAAACCAATCAAGTTTGGTTTTGGTCAGAGTACAATTGTTGAAAGAATTGCATTATTCTGCTTCCTTTAACAATAAATTATATTATGACCAAGAATTATATGAATTTAAAGCGTTAATATTATTAACTGAGACCAATCAACATGTAACATAAAACATGTACGTATCACAGATAAAGGCATGGTTTTTTCTTGTCAGTTGACTAGGTAATTTAGTAAAGAAATGAATATAAGTTCTAAGCAAGTGTATAAGGAAATCTTTAGTCTGATTTTCTGCAAAAGCTCACTGTAGACTTACTTGATTTAGATAAAAGCTAAGCCCACATAGGCACTGAATTTCAACTGAAGAAAAATGCATCCTAGTTTCTTAATCAATCATTATAAATCTTACACTAAAGAGAAGAAAATATGTAAAATATCATTAACTGTTCACCGCAGAGTTAGTTATGTCAAGAGAGAGTTGAGTCTAACGGCATACAGGTGGAATTTAGCCTTTTTTCCTATTCAAAACCTAATTGGTTAATTGTGGTCTGTCAAAATGTGGTCAGGTTGAAACCTGACCTACAGTACTGCCGGCTACGGCCCTGTGCACAGGAGCCTGTTATCACCTAGCTTCCTCCTAGTCATCATCGTTTTCTTCATTTTAATTATCAATTGTCCATAGTAATGTAGGAAAAAGCTATGAAAATCAGAGTGTATTCAATAATAAACGTCTCAGAATGCCCGAAAATGCATTTCAAAGAATCTAGAAAACTAGATAAAATTTAGCCTTTTTGCTATTCAAAACTTAATCAATTAACTTGTGGTCTGTCAAAAAGTGGTCAGGTTGAAACCTGATTAACCGTACCGGTGACTACGGCCCTGTAAATCTGCTTTTTCTGAATATCAATGATAGATGACACATTTTTATTCTGTTTTTTGTTTTAATTTAATCAAATAACTGTGCAGATTCATGTGGTCATCTACCTTTTGGGGTTGAAGATGGAAGTATTCACTCAGACCAACTCATTGCATCCAGCATATATGATTGGAGATTCAAGGCTGAACGAGGGCGACTCAACACAGTAGCAGACCTCGATGGCTCGGGGTCCTGGGCAGCAAAATCTGAAGACGAAAATCCTTGGATTCAAGCCGATCTCAGTGCTGTAAAAAGCGTAATTGGAGTAATAACTCAAGGGCGCGAAGATGGCAAGCAATGGGTGAAAACATATGAAGTTTATTACAGTACAAATAGTAACAATTTCGAACCAGTATTAGGATCGAGTGGTCAAGCTGAGGTAAGAATTGTGACTAGTGACCCTTAAATCAGACTTGAAATCACCCATCAATAACTCTGAAAATAAAATCACTTAAAATGTCTACACAATCAAAATTTTGCAAAAGGTAAGTCATGCTGGAAAGCTCTCATCCGAAACCCTACCAAAGCAGCCCAAGCGGGAAAGTTAGAAGACTACTCGGCGTAAAGGCAATAAGTGTAATGTAATGTATATAAGAATATATGTACATTATGTACAGTAGTCATTGACGGATCTGAGGGGTGTCAGGGCCCCCTTTCTTGGGAAAAAAAAAACGAAAAAAAAATATCCGGTACACACATAGGCCTATTTACTGTAATAAGAATGAGAAAAATAATTACCTGACCGTTTACAAGAGGGGAAAAACTTTAGAAGTCGGGAAAACTCATCTAAGAACCAACATTTTCCCGGGGAGGACCCCCGACCCCCGTTTTATTTGGGTTTCATCGATTTATTGAAAAAAGAATATGTATGCAGCGACTCATTTTTTTTTAACACAGTAGGGCTACTAGTATTTACAGTAATAAGAAAGAGAATTTTACCTGACCCGCTTGAAAACAAGCGGAGGAAAACCTTAAAATTTCAAGAACTTGAAAGTAATTAAAAGACACCTCGGGAAAGTCAGGAAAGCTCATTTCCTGCTAGTGATCAAATTTTTCCCGGGGAGAACCCCCGAACCCCTTCCTCTTTGGGGTTATCCATTCATGGAAAAAATAATACGTAAGCAACACAATTTTTTTAAATGTACGTATACACACACAAATAGGCCTATTTACTGTAATAAGATCGAGAAAGTTTACCTGACCGTTTTCAAGAGGGGGAAAACCTTGAATTTTGAAGAACTTAAGTCATTAAAAGACACCTCAGAAGTCGGAAAAGCTTATTTCCTGCCTTCTAGTGATCAAGATTTTCCCGGGGGAGGATCCCCGGACCCCCTTCCTCTTTGGGGTTATCCATTCATGGAAAAAAGAACGCTTAAGCAACTACGTATACACACATAAACAGACCTATTTACTGTAAAATAGGAAGGAATTGCGTGTTGCAATCGCTGCCTTACAGAGAAATTTCACATTTATTCAAACAAACCATCAACTTTAAACAAAAGAACAGAGCTGTTTTCAAAATGCAGACACAGAAACAAATTCCTACTCAAGAATACGTAACACAATTAGTATATACACCTGCTGAACCTCATATATGCCTCCATTATCCTCAAATCCACTCACTCCTGAAGATTGCTACTGCATGAAGCAGCTGTAGAGTAAATTCACGCTTGACATACCTTTCTATTATTATTATTGTTATTATTATTATTATTATTATTATTATATATATATATATTATGTTCACATTATTAAGAAGACACAACAATAATTGTTACTTAACCAATATCCTGAGGCGCGTGGAACGGAGAGAGTAGAGAAAACAGTAGAACTTATACATACTGTTTGTGGTGCTGAACTAATAATAATAATTCAAATAATAAAACATTAAATAGTTAAACCGTTATTAAATTTTTAATTATTGGTCATGTTGTAACTTCAGCCGTTGTCTTTCAAACCATTTAAATTATCGTAGCAAAAAGTATAAAAACTAACTTGTGTTTTTAATGAAAGTTAATCACTTGTAAATTATAAATGCTTGAAAATGTGTAGTTCAATGGTTTGATTGAATGTGTGTGGAATGGGAATTGAATATATGGCGTAGACCTATGTTTAAGAAAAAAATACAAAGTATAGGCCTATGTAGGCCTAAAAAAAAACAAAGGTTACTTTGTATTTGGTCACGGAGGGCTATATCTGAGGATTTTTCAAATGAAAGATAGGGGGTAGCTAGCTATATTATTAATCAGATTTTACAATATAAGTGAGTGACACACACACAACCCCCTCCCCCCACACACACATACAAACATACATACACACCATAATAATAATATTTATTTGACATTACATATACACTTTTATATATCAGTGGCACACACAAGAAAGTGGCGCAAAATCTTAGCTAATGAATGAAGAGGAAACACAATTACAACTTAAAGCTAGACCAATGTAAGAACTTAAATGAAGAAAATTCAATAATTTTGAGTTTAAAAATAAATCATAAACACACCTCACCCCTCCCCACATTTATAATTATTATTATTTATTGACCACAAAGTCCAACATAAAAACTCGATAACATAAATAAATAAATGTTTACATTTTTGGAAATTACCACTGTCTTCATAACAATATGGGGCATAATTGCTGTTGACGAACAGTTCCAAACAAGACCTCATTAACATTACGGTAAGTATGTCTAATTTGAGCCGTAACTTCCTCTGTAAATTTACAAACAAATAAAATATGACACTCATCTTGCACATCTTTACACTGACATTTTCTTTTATCTCTTTCTATTCGAGACCATCTACCTGTCTGAACTTTAGGATATTAATGGGAACTTTAAATAAAACGTGATAATACAATTCGTTCATTTTCTTAAACATCCCGACATAAATAAAACGATGTTTGTATGAGCTCAGTATTAAACGCGTTGTTGTTTTATCCACAATGCTATTTCTCAAGCGCACCATCTCATCATGCAGCGTACTTATATCTGAAATTACAGTGTTTTATGTCGTGAAATCGGTGAATCCACCGAATGACACAAACCTAGAGCGGTAATATTTCACTGTTCCCTGTAATAATAAATAGCCCAGTACACTCGCGCAGTACACTCTTCGGAAAAGAGTAGGGGATTGTCTCCCAGTGTACTGCCTAATCACCACCAGAAGGACCCCACTGAAAAAAAAGTCTTCTAGACTTTCGTGGGCTATCCTTGGTTTTTACAGCGAATAAATCAAAATCAAATCCATGAGAATTCGGATTATTAACAGCATGATGCTTTAACCATCGTTTTTGAGCATATTTCATTCAAAATGCACAGCTTGGCATGTGTGTCTCAATCAAACATAATTCATTGGGTGTTTGCATCCCTACTCCAAGAAGTAGCTTTACAGCATTCATATACAAAGGTAGTAAACATGAGTTTGCAATTTCCATCCCCCAATTCACTAGCGTACAATAACGATGACATTACTGCTGATTCAGCTACTTTCTTTTTGAAAATAAATGGTAAGTTAGCATTTCTATTTTAAAATGCACCGAATCAGGCGCGTCGGAAGCTATTTTTATTGGTCCGGCCAAATATACAGAATCATCACCGCATTAATATGACTTCCATTTATTAGTTTTGTCTCTGTAGCTCAAAACACGCACTATTCTAATATGTCAATCATTCATAGTCGTACTAAGTATATCAATTAACCATTCATGCTTTATCATTTATATTTGTCACCATAGAATTTCATAAATATTAACGTACGTACAAGTAGTAGTTAAACATTGCTTTAACAGTAGAAATGATATTTTTAAAATGATGTTTTACCATACGGCCTTCTCATTATGTTGCAAAAATACTCTAAAACAAAAATTGACACCTGTTCGTCTCGAACCAGGGCCATAGCTCAGCTACGGGTTGTACGCATGTATATTGGGCGGTCTGGGCCATGTCATAGTAGGATTTTTTTAAATAAAAAAGTGGAATCGATCAGTTTATTTCATTAATAAGTATATCTATCAGTTAATAAGTATCTAATAAAATTAGATTTTCCTGACGTCTGTCCTACCACCCTGACTGGAGCCGTTGTAGGGCCTGAGTTGAACCCCTGTAAAAATGTTCAATAGCTTATTCTAATATTGAACCTCCATCCGAAGTTGATTCCCCAGATTCTTAATGCTCTATTGCGTATTTATCACCGGGTAGATCTGTCCATATGATGGGAATACCATACATGGTCCTCCTGCCATTAATAAACCAAAAGTTTACTAGATAATAACACTAAATAATATACCAGCAGTCTGTTATTTGAAAATCTAACGATCTGTAGGTCGAAATATTAGTTTTCTCCAAAAAAGTGTTTCTAAAGTCTATACATGTTATTCGTTTCCTATATTCTTTTGTTGTCGTACCGAAACACACGTGGAACCT